AAACCATCCAAACATAATAAAAAATACTCTCAATTGAAAAAAGGGCTAGATAAAAATAAATCTATTATAATTAGAAGACATTTTGCATAATATACACTTTGTACAAATATAACTACAAATGTTAGGCCTGGACAACGTAGCGCGGGACAGCTTGTAATATAATACAATCATAAATTATTTCTATTGTAGGTACTTGTTTATTTTTAAGTAAAAAAAAAGGCGGGCAAGTGGGTGTCGCTCTACTGTACAGTAGGTTACAAGTGGGTCACTGTATAATGGATGATATTAAATTTGAATTCAACGATATAATATCATTGTATATCCATATAATAATCCATATAATATAATATCCATTAGGTACTTATAAGCGTTATACATCAACAAAAACCGTGATACTATCATAGATATATAATAGTACACTTTAGAAGTTTCAAGTACCCACGAATAATATTATTCAATCACAACAAAATATCTAAAATAGTTATTCTAGGTTTTTTAATATGTAATTTCGTCCAAATTTGAATTTCAAATGTCTGTAAAAAATAACTGTGTTCATATATTTTTTAGATTTTTTGGTTACAGTATGAACTATTTACGAGAACCTTTGTGTTGAATTTGCAATCCTTAGCTATACAAACTGAACATTTTATAATTTATTAATTACAATGATTGATAATTTTCGAGATTATGATAAATTTTGTCAAAATTTGATCTTTAAATGCTTATAAAAAAAAACTGTGTACATGTATTTTTAATATTTTTCAACTGATTTTGTAACAATATATCAGGAGCCTTGTATTACATTTTTACACTTTTTGGCCCAACAGATAAAACTTTATTGATATTTATAGAAAAAAAAACTAAAAAAAATTGAAAGCTGTAAATGTCCATAAACAGCTCCAAAAGAGTCAAAATATTTTCAAAATTGTATGGTGTATAGAAAATGCTAATTTAAACATTCAGTAAAATTTTCATGTATCTACAGTTGTTCGTTTTTGAATTGCAACAAAATAAGGAAATCGCTACATGAGTAATCGAGTGAATATCCAATGTTGTAAAAATTTGAATTTCAAACGCTCATAAAAATTTAATTTGACTGTCCGGTAGAGATTTTTTTATTGATAAAGGTAGATAATCTTATAAGGAATCTTGTGTTTAATTTTCAAATCTTAGATTTAAAAAGAAAAATTTTTACGAATTCTTAACTCAAAATAATTTGCTAATTTTCGTGATTTTTCCATATTTTGTCAATTTTTGAACTTTAAATGCTTATAAAAAAAAATTGTGACTAAGGATTTTTAATATTTTTCATCTGCCTTTGAAACAATATATTAGGAGCCTTCTATTAAATTTTCAAGCTTTTGCAACCAACAAATGAAATTTTATTGATATTTTTAGAAAAAAAACTAAAAAAAAATGGAAAATGAAAATGTCCCTAAACAGTTCAAAATATATCAAAATATTTTGAAAATTTTATCGTGTATAGAAAATGCAAATATAAACAACCAGTGAAATTTTCATGTATATACGTTCATTTGTTTTAGAGTTACACCAATAACCAAAATCGATTTTTTGGAAAACCAATTTTGCGTAAAAATTCCCGTTTTTCCTTAATTTGTATGTTGTTTTTCCCGGCGCTTGTGAAAACTACTGGGAAATTTATACTTTTGACCCCCCAAAGTACCAACTAGATTCACTTTCCTATCAGAAAAGCTACTGATGAAGAAAATCCAAGCACTTTTACTGACGTTGTATGATATTTATGTAGTTAAGTTTATTGCACCTACTACCTACTCTATGATATCAAGTAGTTACTTATAAGATTATATAATAATAAATTGTATCTCTTGTATCCATTGGTGCAAATAGCTTTTGAGATTTGGGGGGCCGAAGAACTACTATAAAGTAATATTGAATATGATTGAAAAAACTTTAGGTAATGTATGAGGGTTGACATTTTTCGGATTGAAAATTTACAACAAGATTCTACGTAAATAGCTTATATATAAATTACTTTATTCACAATCACAATAATATCATCAAATACACTTGGCAATGTCATAGGCTGACCGTATTCGCTCTGAATCGTTTTTCTTATACAATAATATTATATCATTGAATTCAAATTTATCACCATCAATTACAATGACCCACTTTGTAACCTACTGTACAGCAAAGCGAAATCCACTTACCCACCTTTTTATATAATATTTTATTTTATTGCGTTGAAAACGCATTGTGTGGTTGCATTTTGCCAAAGCGGTTGAAACGCTAAGTTCCAACCTCTCGCGTTTCAACCGCTGTGGTGGCTCTAAAAATCATGAGCATTAAAAAGCTGGTTACATATCAGACGAATAAAACACATACAATAAAAAACTTATTAGGAATCTTGCATACATGTATAATGTATTAATGTGTATGACGTATGTAGATATTATAAAAATTAAACATATTAGGTACTTTATATTATATCACTTTAGGTTGTGCTATTTATTATTAAATGTGTATATATTATCTACCTATACATATATTCCGATAGTATTAAGTCCATATAATTCCAGGCCCTAAATGAATAAATATTATTTTATATAATTTATATCGACAAATGACAATCTACAATTATATCATAATATATAATCCTTGCTTGCGTAAATTAGATGAAAGTGTAAATTAATTTTTTGACACTTTTAAAATAATGATTATGCGCCTATACATTTGTTATAACTTATAAATAACCTACCGAATATCGAATTTAAAAGTTATTTTCTGAAAAGGTACAAAAAAAAGTAGGTATATTACATTTTAATGTAACTAGGTATACGTATTTTCCAATAGTTCCATCATCTACTCTCATTAATCTTTATATTATTTTTATTATCTGATATTTTGTGCCAGCTGCCGACCAATGAGCTGTCTGACAGTCCAAGTGCAGTGATGTACCATGTACACTGTACAGTGTACACCTATGTCAGAAGAGTGAGAGTAGGGAGTGATCAAGTCAAAGTCTATAAAAGGCCGTACAACAAATATTTGAACGCCTTTACAGTCTTGACTTTTACACTGCAGCTAGTACCTAAATCTTAAATATTTACTGTTCATTTTTTTAACCACCTATAATACTTATCTACAAACATAAAACATTATACGTGGAAGTATTTTGAAATTTTACAATGCTAATATTTAGTACATTTAAAATTTAAAATTAAAATATTTAAAAAATTGTATTTCTTGACTAAGGTTTTGATTGATTAATTGCATTATTTGTTACATAACTTTGTGAAATTTTAAGAATTATTACACGATAATATTATGTTCCTTAACTTTTCAGCATGGCTATTATTAATTTATCGGAGAGAGAATTGTTTGCCGAAATTGAGGCGGCATCGGCGGCACTGAAGGTGGGTGAAAAGTTGGCCACGGCGCATTGCGTCTCCGAGGACTTCCAGATGGGAAGTGGTATTGCCGTAAACTTCAAGTAAGTAGATTTATAGCTTCATTTCATATCATTCATAACTTCATTTTCCAAAAATACGAACATACTCAAGTAATTATAGTTTTTAATTTACATATTTATCTGATATGTTTTAAACATTTTGTAATGTGCTGAAATAAACTGCACAAAATCTGTATAATATGTAGTATTATTTAAAAATAATAATAAAAAAACTGAGAAACTCGCATAGCTGTGTATAATGCGTTTCGTGAAATTTTCAAATATCTAGGGTATTAATTTTTGATTTATATTAAAAAAAATATTTAATTCAATTTAAATTGCAGGCTGAAGTACGGAGCCCTCGGAGCCCTGATGGACCAAAAGGTCCGGGTCGGTGGTGTGGCGGAATTACCTCAGAGTAAGAGGGAGGTAAATTGTGTGTATTTTACCTTGTCACAAAGGTCTTATTCCACCATAAGCCGACTCTCCAATCTCTGGCCGATTCGTTGAACCAGTTGCGGGATCGATTAATCGATTTAAGAATAAATCGATTAATCATCCCAAAGCTTGGGTGCAATTTGGATCGGCTGGATTGGTATCAGGTGCGTGGTCTGCTTTCAGCCACGTTCAGCCAAGAGATGTATATCACAGTATGCGATCCCGAATACGTAAGATTTTTTTATTATTTTTTTTATTTTGTATTCATCGTAAATAATTTGTTGGAAAATGAATTCACTATTTAATTATAAATGTAATTTATATAGCCTGAAATACGAACACATAGAGTGGCGCATCTGCGGGTGGAAAGCCGGGTATTTTGTGCCACCAACAATGCCCCAGATACCAGGGAATTATTTATACTACCTGTTGATATTAGCAGCGCCAGTACAAATTCGACGTTGGACAGATGTTTAACACATTTTGACTTGAAGACAGAGTAATTTAAATTTAAATATTTTTATGTTATTTTTAATTTCAATTTTTAAATTCCGTCTATACCTACTGGTCTACATGCAACTAAAATGTTTGTTACAATTTTTTAATACAGATTAATTTCCAACGGAGTTTGGGCTTCCCTAAGAAAGGGCCAAGTTATGGCCACATTTGCAGCAACCAACAATTTCGTAATATGGTTGAAAGGTGAAGACGACAGTTATTTTAGGACTTTGGAAACCCAAATCGACGAAACATTAACATTGGGGCTCCGTTCGTCGATTTGAGTATTTCCAAAGTCAGAAATGGAGTATTATACGGGGTTTTGTGCATTGGTTAGGTCCAAGCTGGCTGACAATGCACAAAACTTCCAAATCGTCATTTGTGATCCAAATCTGTAAGTTAATTATTCATCGAATGACTTTTTATTATTCTATGATGTTTGGTATTAATTTTCACTAATTTATAAACTTTCGAAGGTCAATGACAACCGGAAAATGGCCTCGATGCAGGGCACATCACCGGCCCTCGCCCATGTCGTCTACGCCTGGCCGTAGCCAAGTCAGTATTGTACGTGGGCGTGGCGGTGAGTACCATGGTCGTGGTGGTCGTGGTGGACGTGGTGGACGTGGCCGATTACGTGAACACGGCCGATATGATAAACACGGCCGATATGGTGAACCCACGGACATTTATTCGAACGCGTTAATTGCATTGGGGCACACTGTCTCATCAATTGTATCAGTCGGTTAGTTTCAACAGTATAATATTTTAGAAACTTAGGGCCGTTCTTACAATATCCGGTTAAAGTTAACGGACACTGAACCAGCGGAATTCTGCCGTTAAAAAATTTGTTATCAGCCGGTTTTCGTTGACTGACACTTAACTGGGCATTGTAAGAATGGTCCTTAATTGTATAGGTAATAACATTTAGCTAAAAAATAAAAATAAAAATGTTATATTATTATTACAATATAGTACAAATGGCCACACAGAGTGCAAGTCCACCCACGCAACCCACGCCAGGACCTTCGTGGAGCAATGCAAATTATACTCGTGGACGGGCACGTGAATGGGCACATGGACGTCAAACCATTATGTGTCATAATTGCAAAAAATTTGGCCATACACGGCAGTATTGTCCTAAAAAGTGTAAGTACCTGGACAAATGATTTAAAATTAATATTTATTTTACATTATGTAAACTTCAATGAACACTTCGTAATCCGCAATGGTAATATAAATAGTTTACGCTACCTACGCATGATTCACCCAGGGTAAAGGGTTGTTATGTTGAAAACACGTTTCAATATAAAAAAAAACTTATTTATTTTGTTTTAAACGATTGAAATACATATTTTAAGTATCAGCAAAAAACGTATGTTTAAAGCAATACGTTTAGTAAATTTTTGTTGAAATAGCGTTAAAATAGCGTTTCAAACGTTTCTTAACATGTTTAAAATTTGTTTTTTTTTTGTTTAAAAAGCCGCTTACTTAACCATACTGTATTTAGTGTATTTAAAATCTAACCACCACACCCCCTACCCCAAAAAAAATTGTCGACGTTTATAATATATCATAGGTTAATGTGTTATACGTTTCGAAAAATAAAGCTGTATCAATTATGGTGCTAAACGAATTATTATCTCTATTTTACACATCCTGTTATCCTAAATTGATTTTCCACGTATTTTCCAACACTGTTATGTAGTTTTTGAAATATTTGGGTAAACTAGTGAGCTTTTATTAATTCAACTATAAAAGCAAATTATAGCCTATAGGTATTTTCACGTTTTTTATATTGCATACATTCATAACTACCTAGCTAATAACCAACGAGATAATAGGTAAAATTACTTTAATGTTAAAAAAAACGACTAAGGTATTAATATATTATACATATTGGTATATACTTGATACTACATATTCCATCATTAAAATACAAAAATAATGTATTAAAAATACGGAATGTATTTCTATAATTTACTTTGAATTTATGTACTTACAGTTTATTGACTTTATTCTAATTTATATTATGTAGTAATCATTAAATACATTTTTCTCAAAAATATGCTATGAAACTTATACTATAAGCTCTTAATATGTCGTCAACAATTTCAGATATTAGGCAGGCACTTTACATTTTCACTTATGAAATTGAATTAAAATTAAAAACCAAACACTAACACATACACTGGCTTACATAGCGATACGTTTACAAATTCGCAACTGCAGTAGGTACTAAACGTTCCCAAATCAATATCTAAAAGGCTAAAACATACCAAACATAGATAAAATATTACAATCGATAAGGCGTCAAACCAATAACGCGATTACCAAGTCGGCGTAGTGATACTCGTAAGATCGCGACTAATGACTTACGAGTTCCGATAAAACTTTTTGTCTGTGCAAAACCTGACATTTTAGGGTTCAAAATAGGTGTGATGGCGTAAAAAAATATTTAAATATAATTTTAGTTAAGGATGGATAAAAATAAAGTTCTAAACCTATGATTTTAATCTATTTGTTTCTTTTTTCCAGGAATTGCTGAATTTTTTATACCTATGTTGTAATTTCTAATATTTTTTTATAATTTTTTTTTTTTAATAATATTTTTTCAATTATTTAGTCAAAATTTTTTTTTAATTAAACCTTTTTTAATTATTTTTTGAATACATGAGGGAAAACCTCGCTCACGTTCTCCACAATACAATTATATTATATACATACATTATATATTGCATTATACATTATATTATAACAATTATAAAATAACGTATTACATTTTGAGTATTTTATAATAATTATTATTAAACCTACATGGTTTCCAGTTTTACTCTTTCTAATGTCAAAACAAATTTGTAATATAATGCATAAGAAAAACAAATATATGTATACTTATTTATATTTATAATTATATTTCGTAGTTGTATGATATCAGCAATAGCCTATATTATATTATTATTATTATGTACCAACTGGCTACTATGCCAATTGAGATTAATTGTATTATAATTATATATGCCTACATAAACTTATAACTAAAATCTGTATGTTTATTTAGAGGTGATACACACACATAAGTCTTAAATTATAATTGTTTTGTTTTATTTTTAATGTTAATAGTTGTTATTTGATGTTAAAAATAAGGAATACACGTTTTGTAATTAAATATTGTTTCTAATTTAGAAATTAAATAGATATACAGCATACATATTTATTGGACTGTGTAAAAGTTCTAATCCCATATTGTAAATATAAACTTAAGGATTAGTTAGTATTAAAATGTAAACTAATAATTAAACTATTAAAGACTAAAATATGTTTGTTTATATAAAATGGATAAATTTCATTTTGTAATGCTATTTATGTATTTTAATATTTTTCTATAATTCAATATACATAATTTAATTGATATTTTAAATTACAATGAATAAATGTATAAAGTTATAGTCTTATAGAATATTTAATATTTGTATCTGTTAAATTATTTTACCATTAAATATAAATTTTAGCATAATAACCAGAAATGGGTAGAGAACCAACTACTTAGTCATCATTCAGTTTATATTTAAACAGGTATATAACTGCATAATATATAGAAAAAAATATCGTTATTTGCTTTTCATTGAATAATGCCGTGTTATTAACTCTTGCGTAGGTACTTTAAATTTTTTAATTGTATAATATGATTAATGTATAATCCAATATAAGGTTGAATTTTCTAATAAATTATCAAGATGTACAACGACACAGACTACTAATAAAGTAAAGTTTTATTTTTCTAGAGCCCAAGTCCACCGATTGCCCCCTCCAAAAAATACAAATTTAGAATCTACGTCGGTTGCCCTTTCGATTAAAAATGGTTTGGAAAACATAATTTTTAGTGTTCATGCCAAAAAAGTGTTCCTAAGTACAGCGCGCATCTGAAATCTGGTAGTATCGTAGACAATGTATAATTTAGAAATCGTATTTTTTTTTGGAGCTCAAGTCCCCCACGTGCCGCACTTGGGTAGTAGATATTTTGAATCTCTATTAGACGCTATTTCGAGTAAAAATAGTTCAGAAAACATAATTTTTAGTGTTCATGCCAAAAAAGTGCTCCTAAGTACAGCGCTCATCCGTTTCGCCCGTAAATCGGAGAAATCGGATTGTATGTATACACATTTATTTTTCTGAAGCTCAAGTCCCCCACGTGCCGCACTTGGGTAGTAGATATTTTGAATCTCTATTAGACGCTATTTCGAGTAAAAATAGTTGGGAAAACATAATTTTTAGTGTTCATGCCAAAAAAGTGTTCCTAAGTACAGCGCGCAGCTGAAATCTGGTAGTATCGTAGACAATGTATAATTTAGAAATCGTATTTTTTTTTGGAGCTCAAGTCCCCCACGTGCCGCACTTGGGTAGTAGATATTTTGAATCTCTATTAAACGCTCTTTCGAGTAAAAATAGTTCTGAAAACATAATTTTTAGTGTTCATGCCAAAGCGGGCTCCTAAGTACAGCGCGCATCCGCTTCGCCCGTAAATCGGAGAAATCGGAATGTATGTATACACATTTATTTTTCTGAAGCTCAAGTCCCCCACGTGCCGCACTTGGGTAGTAGATATTTTGAATCTCTATTAAACGCTCTTTCGAGTAAAAATAGTATTAAATGATGAAAGCTATTTACATTTAAAGCATGAACTGATAATTATTATTATTTATTTTCACAAGGTTGAAAGTTACGACAACAGCAATTACACAACATTTTTATTTCTTTAAACATGCATATCTTGATTTTTGACAGGGATTTTTATTTACGAGAACAAGGAGAAAAACCTTGTCCATCTGTTGTGGTTACTATATAGTCATATAGTCTCACGAATAGTGAAGAAATATGACGAATTATCTGTCCAGCATAACCTCATGTCCTCATCATTGACTCGTTAGAACATTTCTCACAATTTTTCAAACAATCCCCTTTTCTATTCTTTATGATTCCATATTAAGTCCTAGCTTATAATATCATTTTTTTTTTTATCAATTTCGAACAGTAAAAATACTTCAAATAGACATAACAAGTTGAAATATTGACAAAAATTACGATTTTAGTTATTTTGTTTGAATAAATATTATTTTTAGGTAATTTAAACTTTTCAATAATATTATTTACTAAACACAATTAAAATCTAAAAATATTTAGTTTTAAGCTATTTTACTGTGAATATATTTACACCTTTCTACGGTACATCGATATTGGGGTATTAGTTAATAACAACTATAGTATTATTATATTATTATAAGTAGGTACTTAAAATATAATTAGAAATATAGGCCGTCTCTGCAGCTCAGAATCGTTTTTCGTGTATATTATGAATTAATGTGATTTATTAATGAATTCAAATTTACCACCTCCATTAAAATTACTTACTCAATGAAGAGGTACACTCGACACTTACCATAAAATATATCTGCTAGAGGGACTGATTTTTTTTATAAACTGTATTAATAAAGCAGTCAATATAATGTAATTAAAAAAAATACGGTAGAAAATGCACACGCGCTTATACCCCACAAATTTCACCACTATCACCATTGCATAATGCGCATATTGGTACCCTCTATAGGTGCTTAAATATAAATTTATAGTTTAATATTATTATGTTTCTTTGTAAAATGCACTGTCGGCGTCGACGGAGCAATAACTATAAATATACACGGACACGCGTCGGGTAACGATTATCGTTTCATTAATGCGTGTGTAGTACCTATGCACGTAAGTATATATTTTTATTGTGGGTACTTACTTATACTTTAAAGTTTAAAAAGTTTAGGCGCTCCTCCGGAAACAACGTGTAAAATACTTTTACTTCAACACAACTCGTGACCCTGACGGTGGCCTGCTGACTCGGCGAAACGATAGATTTGATTGTTTCTGCCCGGCAGCAATGTAATATTAAAATATTATGAGACATTACGGCGTTTTTAAACATTTTTTTTTTTTCATTTTGATTCGGTTTTTGGAGCCGCGCCGACGACAATAGCTAATAGGTATTTATTATTTTATCGTCCCAAGGACTCTCTCGTGCGGTTGTTCGGCTTTTACCTATGTTGGTAACCGAATATTAGGTGTATGGTTATTGTGTTATGATTACCATACAATACCGTACTGCACTCACGCGACTCGCATG